CATATTATACTTAATTTATTATATTTAAAATGTTGTTGTATGTAAACCATTATCAGTTTAAAGCTACAACTTTGAACAGTTTTCAATATACTTAAATTGTTAATTTAAATATAACATTATAGTGTCAACTTAAATATAAATTTCAGTTCCAATTAAAAAACCAAAGAATATTTTGTAAATAGTTAAAAGTGATAAATTGTAGTAATATATGAAAAAATTAAATTGTAATCTCAGTTTAACTAAAATATTTCTTAAAGATACTTTTATAATCTTAAAAGTTTACAAATAAATAGCTTAAAACAAGTTATAATAACAATAGTTAAAAATAACTCTATATAAATGATTACATTGTAACCTGTAATATCAAAAAAACAATGTTTGATGTTTTAAATATTTATAATGATAGAAATTAAAACATTAAGCGAATAGTTTTTAAAAAATTAATTAAAAATAACAACAACTATAAATACCATTAAACCATATATTATATTTAATTTTATTCAAGTGTAACTTGCGGGTAGAAGTCATTCAAACGATTGAGATTATGCAGTTATAATAGATGTATATATTATCATATAATTAAAAATAATCAATATATTATATCAATTTAGTATACAAATTATTATATCAAATTTAACAACTTTATTGTTATATTTAAAAAAACATATGTTTTTAAAGACTTCAACTATATAGGTGTTTCTGCGCAACGCGCGGGCATTCGCCTAGTACCATACTATAAAGGTAGAATTTTTTCTTTCACCACATCAATTTGAAACTCCCAACTATTCATATTTCCATATAATTTACTTAATTTATTAACTTAAATATGTTGTTAGTTATTAAACATTATCATAAACGAAAGACTTCTTGAATTATCAATATGATATACTAAATTTGTTGACTTCAATATTGTGTTAGATACATAACATAAGTTAATATATTAAATAAACTTAAAAATATAGTGTAAAAATTAAAACCTAAACTAAAATATCAAATAAAGTTTTAAAAATTCAACATATATTTTTTAAAATAATTGAAAGGAAAATATTAAATACGATAAATATAAAAAATCTTAAATCTAAAAATCAAATTAACTAAAAGATGTCCAAAAACTATTTTTTATAATAACTAAAACTCAATTAAGTTGTTTTTAAATTAATTTATAATAATAATTAAAAATAACATAAAGTTGTAAATTAAATTATGTTACATTACAAACAGTGGTTGATAATTTAAATAATTTAGGAAGCATTTTTTCTTTTACCACATCATTTTAAAACTCCTAACTCTTCATATTTCCACATAATATATTTAATTTATTAACCTAAATATGTTGTTAATTATAAATATTATCATAAACTGAAGACTTATTGAATTATCAATATGGTATACCAAATTTGTTGACTTCAATATAATGTTAAATGCATAACCTAAATTAATATATCAAACAGATATAAAAATATAGTGTAAAGTTTAAAAATTAAAGTAATAAAAATCCAATACATGTTTTTTAAAATAGTTGAAATGAAATTACTAAATACGATAAATATAATAACTAAAATTCAATTAAGTTGTTTCTAATTAATTTATAATAATAATAATAGTTAAAAATAACATGAAATTATAAAATAAATTATTTTACATTACAAACAGTGGTTGATAATTTAAATAATATTAATGATGAAATTAAAACATCATCAAAAAATTTAAAAGTTAATAAATTATAACAATAGTTAATTAAAATAGTGAGTACTATAACTTTTTTTTTTGGAAAAAGAACTTCTTTAACTAGGGTTCAATGCTCGAATAATCCCTCGATGCAAATATAAGGCTATGCATCATGCCCTGGAGTAGTGCGACAATTTAAATATGGGTCAATAATTTATTCATCATATCTTCCACATGTTTCACTAACTCACCACAACTAATTTTATACACACGTAAAGATGAGCAGAGACCATTAAATGATTTGATTTTAATAAGTGTTATATTATTTATTGTGCAAATTAATTATAATTTTGCATCAACTAGATGTAATTATTATTATTTTATAGTTAATAAAAATGACATAAATATTTTCAATAACGTATGATTACAAAAAATTTAACCATATAAATTTATTCCTTTCAAGGCGCGGATATTTGTCTAGTATTATATACTTGTCTCATTTGGTATTCTATTTTCTATAAAACCCTATTCCTCTTCGATTGTAGAAGCGTCGCCACCTTCCGTCTTTCACCATTTCTCTATAAACCCTAAAATATTCCCTCCACAGTTGAATCGACCGTCAACCACAATGACTTGCACCACAATCAGCCACCAAAGCTCCTCCGAAGCCACTCCTCCTCTCTGTGAAAAAAACCTGACATTTTCCATGTTTACTCTGAAAAACCGAACCCCATTTCCATATTCAACATCATCCATCACCGCTTTAACCACCATTTTCATAACAACTTTCAAACTCCATCATCATCTTTGCCCCCAGCCACGACCAACTACAGTCGCTCCAGAACCATTGTTAGAAACCTTAGATATGATTTTTGAGTTAGTTTGGAAGGAGGTGACCGAAATGCGGATCTGATAATGGTTTCTCTCTCTAATAACTTTTGAGTCTATTACATGATGTTTGAATCTGTGTTCCGGTAGTTATTGGTAATGCTCATATCTTCCCTAAAATTAGTGTCAGTGATAGCTTAAATTTTTGTTTGTGTCTTCATCTTTGTTGTCGGTATTCTAGCAGATGTCCTACTTTACCATTATGTTTTCGATTTTATTTATGTATTGTATATCAAGAAATGGTTTTCTTATTGTTATAAAATAACATCCCTTCCTTGGTTCCACCTGGATTATTGGTGTGTGGTCAATAAATAATGAAAGTATTGATTAATTGCTTAATTGTTTGTATTGTATTTCCGGGGATGTTCTTTCAAGCTAGCTGGGAAATATACAGTGGTCTTGGATAGCCATAAGGGGAAAAGCAAGATTGTATTGAAAGAGGTCTATTCTAATCACAAAGGAGAAGATGGAGCTACCTTTGTTGACCAAATATATGTGATGGTGACGGCTAGATGAGCGGGATTTGATTCTTAGACAACCTCTAAAAATTAGAGGATATGTATATATGCCAAAACTTGTTTTTGAAGAATCGGAATACCTCGCCTTTTATTTCATCTGGTTCTGTTTTCCATTCACCATTTATTAGCAGCCCATTTATTTTGTTTTTCGTTTTTTTTATTGTTGGCGAAGGTGTGAAAGAATTTAGAATTTTCATCCCCATCCACAACCCATTTTATTCTAGATATTTGCTTTAAGTCATGGGCATTATTTTTTTCCGCCTCAACAATTTTTTGGAATAGGTTTCTCCTCTCTGAGATTTCATCATTACTAAGAACTCTAGACTCAACACTTAAGTCTAGCTCCTGCAAACGATCTTTAATCTTTTTAAGATTAGCTAGTTCCTTAGGGTAATCCAGTCTCCTCCATGCCTTAATCTCATTTTTCAGATGTTTTAACTTAGCCGCCAGATAGGAGTTAGGAGTACCGTAACCTCTAAATTCCAACCATGATTGTGTGACTGTCTCATTAAAACCATCTTTCCGAAACCAAGAGTTGAATAGTTTGAATGGAGGAGGACCAAAATCCACCACTTTAGTAGTCAACAAAACAGGACAATGATCCAAGAATTGGGGAATCAATATTGCATCGGTTACGTGCGGTGAATGTAATTTAGCAGAGGAGTCAACTGACCACCTAATGTGTGTATGTCACTTTACCAAAGCTACTTGGGAATGGGTATTTAGATGGTGTGGTATTTCGATGCCCTCATTTGATAAGGTATCTGAACTTCTAGAATTTGCGGCGTCATGGGGGAACTGTCTAAAAAAGAAAAAGGTCTTGGTGGGTATATGCTATGGTTACGATGTGGTGTCTGTGGAAAGCGAGAAATGATAGAACCTTCAATCAATCAAGGATTGCATATACAAAGGTTGTGGACATGGTTCAGTCATCGATGTTCATGTGGTTTAAGTATAGAAGCAAAAAGAAAGTTTATAAATGGATAGATTGGTGTATTAATCCACTTATGTAAAGAAGTATAAGGAACTTGATATTCTATATTGTGGTGACCACTGTTTTTCTATACACCTGCCTTGATATGTGAGGCTGAGTTTTTTTTTCTTCTTTTCTTTTTTCTTAATAAAATTTGTTGGTTAAAAAAAAATGTATATATGCCATTATTTTGAGGCATTAAATGGGGAGACTTGGTTTTTTGTTTTTTGATTTGTAGCTCTAGAAGAGAAATTATCAATTAAGAATCACTGTTATAATTTGTAGTACAACTTAAATGCCTCGAAAATTACAGAAAGTATTGAGTTAGCGTTTATGCTTATTTTGGAGGACAATATAAGGTCACCAGAAGGAATTACAAATGTGTTCAACAAATATATATTTGGTTTTGGTTTTGCTGGTGGTAAAGTATATTATTATAATAATTTTTTTTATCAACAAAATAAGCTAATAAGTTATATGTTTTTAATAAATTTTGACGACATTCCTACTACTCTGTTCAACCTAACGACAAAAATGTTAAGTCCATATAGTATTTGATTATAACTCCTTTTGTTTTTACTTTAATACTACTTAGCCTCCAAAATAGAAATCATCTAATTATATTAGTTTGGCTTTTGTCTGTTTATTTTACCAATTAAAAATGATTATTATAACTAATGAAATTTGTTTACTTCAAAATGACAAGCAAAAACTTTGATAATTTATGAAATTTACTTATTTCAAATGACAAGTAAAAATACCTTGCGTATTCTGGGAATATAAAACATTCTATCCATGACTATACTGAAGAACATTATATCTCTTTTAACTAATTCGAGGAAATAAATTCTATGACTATATTTAACTCCATCTTGGTTTCCTTAGTTTAATTAAACGAAAATATAACTTTTTTTTAATATGTTAACTACATTATCTACTTTAATGAATTACAACCAGAAAAGAGCGCCCGCATAGCGGAGGATGGATTTGGATTAAACCACTATCGAAAGGTGGTAACAGTACATGGTTTATTCATTTATTTATTGGAAAGGAAAGTTTATCTAATCATCGGATGTTTTTTTCATCAGAGGTTAGTAAATTGCGATCCTCTTATGGATTGATCTGATCATGAATGCCATAGTCTTCTGTCGAAACTTGTATAGATTACACCATTTCAAAGTACAATAGTACATTGCCTAAATAGACAAACAAAGTTACCATCACCAGTGAAGAAGGAGCTCCATCTAAATCATCATGAGATCCCCTTTCTGGGAGTCTGATATACTTATAGGTTGACCCCCTTTTCCTTTATTGAAACTTGACTCACCCATATACTAATTGAACAATGAAAACAAACATAAAACCTGACAATGTCAACATACTTTAAATAGATTCACACTCATTGTATATGGAACTATGGGTCATGTTATGGGTCTCATCAAGCAATTTAACAAACATTGTGGTAGCATACATAAGGATGCATTAACATCGTTTAGGAATGTGAGTTAAGAGCTCTTTGAGACTCTTTTCATATCTGGAAGTAAATACAGATTCCTACCATGACCAGAAATTAAAAAACATTATAATTTTTTTTCAAAATGAACTGAATATTTACCCCTCACGAAGAACCGGAATTGAAACTAAATCATTAAAAGACTATTCATTCAAAATTATTGAAATAAAATAAAAAACAATAAGATGTAACTCACCTAGACATTATATCGAGCACCTGGTAGACCAAAATTGGTAGCGAGTTTTATTCAATCTTTTTGTAGTGATGATGTAGACAGGCACAGATGAGACCCATATAAGTTCATAGTTGTTGTGGTAGTTGGAGCGAACAGGAATGAAATTCACCAGAAGACTTTTCACTTCATCATCTCCGACGACATGTACATCACAGAACGGAAAAAATTAACCCTAACAACGAAAAACAGGAATGCGAGAGTTTAAGAAAAGGCGTAGAGCCCTAATCGAATACAGAATCAGAAGGGAGTGAAGATGATGTAAAATCAAGAATTTGTTCATCACGTGAAGTATTTCAGGAGTGGAAGCAAGAAGGAGACGCAATCGGGGGTCGAAATTCCAAAAATCGCAAAAGGACCGATCATTTACAGATAAGAGTAAGAAGAGTTATACCTGTATATCGAACAAGATATCAAAGAATCTTGTGTAGTCGATGATGGAGTAGAACTAATCTTACAGGTTCTTTGAAGAATTTCACCAAGCACTTGATGTGCATCTTCAAACCTACCAATTATGAACAAAACACCAATCTAATAAGCCCCAAATTAGTTACTTTTTCACATAGAAGGTTTGTCCAAAATTATATATGAATCCATTATGTCAAAATAGAATCACTGGCTTTAAGATGGAGTAGGTGAAGATGGACTTCCAGAGAATAACTAGAAGAGGGAAAAAAGAGACGAACCTTAAATCGACATACCTGAACTCTGTCACTATGGTATGGAAGCATAAGCGTAAGAAGGCATGAGGGAAGCATATAAGCAAAAGGAGAAGGTGACGACCTCCAATCGTGGAAGGTTCGATCGATTTACAAAATGGTTTAACTCTTTGCTTCTTTTTCCCCCTGAACAATGGATAAAATCAAGCATATTGAAGCAGTCGACGGTCTGGAAAAGAATAGATAAAACAATGTGAGAAGAGTCGGTTGAGTAAGTGAATGAAAGGGAAAAACCGACGATAGATGATGAAATAAGAACGTAAATTGGGTCACGTACCTTAGTCGATTGCCTTTCGCTGCCTTCCAGGCTCGATATCTGATGGTGGTTGCGAGAAGGTGTCTACCCTGCGACCTGCTTTCCATTGATTCAAGGAGGCGAAAGAGCGAAAGAGGAGGGGTAGGGTTTAGGTGAAAGAGCGGTGGAGTGTAATGATTGGAGGAAAGGAGCGGAGGCTGTGACGGGTTTTTCACCAGGTCCTTTCGATTCGAATCAATCTTGAAGCTTTTTCCTATGGAATCGAGTTACAAATAACGTAACACAATTCCAATCGAAGGACCTGGTGAAAATCGGAAGAGATAGAGGGATATAGATGAGGTAGAAGATACATTTACCTAGAGAACCGATTAGGGGGAGAGTGGTCAATTAAGAGAAAGGCGGTGGGAAGCATCTACACCTGTTCCCGTTGTGAACGTGGAAATGAGAAGAAAATAAAAAAATTTAGTGTTCCCGAGTTTCGTTAAACGAGAGAAGCGGAAGGAGTTGAGAGAAATTAGTGGATCATTTTCCCTCCTAACTTTCCTTCCGATTTGGGAGGATTTGGAAAGAAAGAACAAGATGATTCATTTTCCTTCCACTTTTCTCCAACTCGGGAACACAAAAGAAAATTTTGTTTTCCTTTCCTTTCCCTTTTTTTCTCTCGTAACTTTCTTTTCTCTTCTCTTCTTTTTTTTTGTTAAACTCGGGAACGAGGCGCTAGAGTCGGTGATTAACAGACAGATACATTATTTAAAAAAAAATTAAAAAGAAAAAAGAAAAATTGGTCCAATAGAAAGGAAGTAATGTTGGTAAAGGAACTCAAAAATAATCTAATTATATATATATATATATATATATATATATATATATATATATTAAAGTTCTGAAGAAAAGTAACAGTAAACTTGCCCATTTTTTGTCAATTTTGGTCCCCATACTTATGTTGGTTACTGTTACTCGGGTGAATACGGTGTTTACTATTGTACTTCCCAATCCTTCCACAATCTTCCTTTTATCCCTCTTCCAAATTCCACTGTTTCTCTCTTCTTCACCACCGCCTTTTTTCTCCCACCGCTTCTCCAGCTCGATCGAAGCCCTAAGAGCACCCCACCGATCACCGCCTCTTAACCCAATCGATTTATCCGGTTTATCTCACCCTTTCTCGCTGCTCTCACCCATCTTTAGCAGCCACCGCCACCATCTTCAGATTCGCTTCGACCACCATCGCCGTCTCCAGCGTCTCCGACTGGAATAGTTCGACATAGAGAGATTTGAGGACATCGAAGAGGGAGACAGAAAAAAGCGAGATGGTGTCGTCCTCCAAGAAAACCATGCGAAACGACGGACTACCGCTTCCTTATATTCATTTGTTCTTGATTTCTCCTTCTCACCGACTTCATTTGTATTTGCTTCCGACTCTATTCGATATTGCCACAGGTGGGAAGAAGAAGACGGAGGACCATTGTTACCATACCCAATCACTTACATTTCTACCGGTGGTGCCCAACAAAAGCCCTAAAATCGATTTCAATTGCTCGCGCCTCCTCTTTGTTTCATATCAGCTTTTCAGGGAAACAACATCGATGATGCAAGTAGGTCAATCCCCTTTCGTCACCTCCGCTTCGTCACCTTCGCTTCTTATCCTGACACATCTTTTACTTCCCTTTTACCTTCTTCTTTCTTCTTTATCCAATAAATTACTTTTTTTTTCAGGCGTATGTAACTGCATGTCGTACAAAACACTGGAGGAAACAGAGTAAAGTTGGTTTTCTATTCAACTTATTCGAGAAGAAGCCCGGAATTGAACCGTAACTTTCAATCTAATTATTAATTCCTTTTTATCTATTACATTTGTCAAGACCTTATACCATTTTTTAACAGTTATTATCAACGATATCAAGATGTTCAACTTGAAAAAATTGGTTTATAGTTTGTGTGTAGATGCTTACGGTGAAGTTTTCGTTTGAAGTTGTAAGTGTTTTGTTATGGTTGGTAGAGCAACGCAGTCCAGTCGGATATAGTAGCTCCAAAGGATTGTAGTTAAGAAGTTAATGGACCTGATGATGACTGATGCAAACAAAAGGTATGATAATGTATTTTGAAGTCAATTATTATTCTAACTGAAATTTTATATTCTTAATTTTATTAATTTTGGTTACATAATTGCAGAACAATATTGAAGGACTGATATCGACTATGGAATTCATTCAATGACAGGTTGGTTTGTTCTAACTATTCCTTTTACAATTTGACTTTTTTTTTCTTTTATATACATAAAGGGATTTGTTTTTAATCTCACAAATTTCTTTTTGTAAAGTTTATGTTGAAGGGTGTTGAAACACAAAGAACAGATGTTCTTGGATGTTATTTGTTGGTAGAATATCCACCAGAAGCTATAGATGTAGATGGCGGTTGCAAATTTAAGGTTTGATAAAATAGACATGAAAAATACATCTTTGATGCTTTCATCATTTTAACTACTGATTAGCTTCTTTAATTATTTTGTTTTAAAGCTTTTAGAGTTCAATAGTCAAATTGTGAAGAAACAAGGGATGTTGAAGTCTGTAGAATATCTTGGCTGCACAGTTGCACTCTCAATTTCATGTACCGTTCTACCCTCTATCACACCTTTTGCTAGACTTCTTAATATTTTTCACAAAAAAAAGCTTGAAGAAAAATGAAGCCCTGTTTATGTTCTTCGATTCCCAGCCAATTAAGAAGCTTCACGTTTATGTTTGATCCCTGAAACAACGGTTTTTAGTTGTAAAATTCAATATTGGTGATCTTTAATGAGCTGGATATCAATATAATGAATCTTTCTATCTGTTCTTAATCTACTTAATTTCTAATAAAGTAAATGTATTAGTGTACAGGATTATGGAAACTATATGATGTTTCCTTTTACTTTTTCTTTCATCATCAGAAACAACCTGATTTCCGACCTCTAGCATTGCATTACCATAACGAAAAGATAAAATCATTATAACAATTACTTTCAACTTTCAAGTAAGGGTAAAAGTGTCCACTATGTGTCAATGTCGGAGTAGTTATAGGTTCATAAATCTTTATAGCAATTACCTGTGCTTCTTACTATTTAACGTGACATAGAGAACTTTAAGTCTGTGAACGTGAAGCCTATGTATTCTAAAGGAACCAAAACTATAGTGTATATATATATATATATATATATATATATATATATATATATATATATATATATCAAAGTCACAAAATAGATCAGATTGATTAAAAGAAATGTTAACTTTATTCTCTTTCATTGAATTTTTAAATGCAGGGGACAAGGCTTGAAAGTTCCGACCCATTTAGTAAGTGTTTCATGTTTTTTCTTTCAAATTATATTTTTTAAATTTATTAAAATAACTTTTTTATTAATTCTTTTCATTTTAGATACCGGTCTTCTATCAGGAAAGTCACTTTTTCAAATTCAGTTAAAAACTAGAGTAAAATACAAAAACGGTCGCTATTCTTTCTTATGTTTGTTGTGTATAGTCCAAAATCAAAACGTTTTTCAGTTTTGAACCTTATTTCATGGTTTTGTTTCAATTCCGGTCAAAAAGAACTTGAAACAATGACTAAAATGGGCAGAAATTGCAAGAAAAATCACCGTCATAAGTATGTTCTTATTATAATTTATAAGTAAAAAATAAAGTATATTGCTATTATCGGTAATAAATGTAAGTACATTGCTATTATGGGTAAGAGATTACATAAAACAATCACATACACTGGTCAAATGTTTATTTATGTAATAATGTTTCATTTTTTCCCAATTTATACAACAATGATTCACATTTTTACCATTTATTCAACAATGTTGTACTTTTTGGTTTACCAATTTATGCAACAATCATGCTTTGGTCTTATAATGAAATGTGGTTGCAAATCATATGTAGAAAACTATTTTGTTACATAAAATGGTAAATTGGAAAGTACAGTGCTATAAATGGTGAGTATAGACAGTTTTAGTCTCATTCAAGGTAGAAAAGAAATTTACAAACATCATTACCCATTCAGCTGCTTTACTTCATCTATACAGGACCTGATGAGGTGAAAAAAGAAAAAACCTCTACTCTACATCCTGTATCTGTCTCAGTAAAGTGGTTGGATACGAAATGACAAAGTAATGTATACATAAAACCGGTTTCTTTTTTTGAAGTGTCTGAATGAGAGACTAAATGACAATTTTACCCTTACATTCCAAAATATATATTTCACCAGTTTTAACATAACAAGAGTCATGTCAGATTTCCATTTACAACATTCTACTTTCTCTATTTTTTTTTTCTTCCTAATGCATTGTACTTTAAAGCAACATGTTATAACAAATAAAGTAACGAAAGTATGTTACTATTTCTTGTAGGCTGCAGCAGAATTTCGCCTGAAAGAGATGATTAATGTACAACTCCTACTGTCAACATCCAGCAAAACAGATGGGAATACCCTACACTGCCTCTGAATGTGCATGTATCAGGAGGTGAAAGAAATCTTAAAAAAAGAAGCCTAGAATGAAGACCCATCTTTTGAACATTATGTCTGTTACTAACATCTTTTTGTATGCCTTACCTATGTAACCAATGTCCGTAGCGCATAAAAAAAACCAACATTGAAGGATTCCGGAAAAACGACATTGAAGGCTTCCGACCCCCGCAAAGCGGGGGACACTTTTCTAGTTATAAATTAAACTAATCAAATATAACAGTAACATAATTTGAATTATATAATAATTTTTTTATTAAAAGCAATAATAAGATACTTTATTTTATGTTTATTGTACTAAATTATCATGTTGTATTTCATGTAAACTCTCAACATAATCTATTTACGACAATATACATATCGTTTCAAGTTATTTTAAGTTTTTAGATTTTTAAGCATTAGAAGAATAAAACAAAACTTGGTAAAGTATAAGTGGTTGATAAAATTGACCAAAAACAATAAATGTTAATAAACATTATGTGAAGTAAATATACTATTATTATCACTACATAAACTATAATAAAAATGAAAATCATTCTCATAGGACATTTTAAGATTTAACTATACGAGTGCTTGTTAGTGTTACATAATCAAAAAGGAACTATTTGATGACACTGAAAGGACCTCAAAATGAAACTAATATCCGTCGCCGCATCGCGCGAGTACACCTTACTGTGTGTGTGTGTGTGTATATATATATATATATACACACACACACGATATTATATAATATATTAAATCTAATGCCTTTTTAGGAACAGTACTTTGTTCCTATTGGACCAACTTTTTTTTTTATTAAGATAGTTTGTTTCTCTTTAATGACACCAACATCCTCATCGTCATCAGCTCTTCTGTCAACAAGGCCACTTTCCCTTCTCTTTTAATCCACCGATTTCCTTTTCCAATAGTATTGGTCC